GGGACTCGGGACTCGCAGCCGGGAGAGCGCCCCGAGCCATGCGGGGCGACCGCTTTTGCTTAGAAGGGAGGGAGAGTAGCAGGTTTTGAAATGGCGGGGAGGGGGTCGTGTGTTCCCCCCCCCCCGGCCGCCCTCCTCGGAGAGCCTGCACCGGTGATCTCACTTTAGCACGGATCATCTCTCTTCTCCGGGCATGGAAGCTAAGGGGCTAATGTGTTTGGGTTCAGGTCTGTCTTGGGTGTGGGGGCTTGTGTTCATTACAGGGCGCCGCAGTTCCATGACTCGCGATAGTCCTTGAAACACAGCGGTGCAGGGGGTTAAGGAGGAGGACGGAGGGGGTGCTGGTGTGCAGCAGCTGCTTGGCATTAGAGCCACATGTGGCGTTCACTCCTGTCTTGTGATACAGGGTCAGCTGGGAAGGTAGCACGTTCTGGTGAGAGCTGCGTTGCAGCAGTTTTAGCTTCCTTCTACATCTGACTATCCCTGTTGATAGGATTATTTGTGCCAGGTAATACCCTAATCAGAAAGGCAGGAGTTTTCACTCTCTCAAAAAGCCAAAGTGACAAATTATTACAGAACAGATGTAGGCAGTGTTTCATTTGCGCATGGTCTCGGTAGCATCGCTTTAGGACCCTGTTGAGATAAGTATGTCCAAATCAGCTGCTTAAGTTTGCAAAAGATTTCACAGTAGCCCCCTCATACTCTTCTCTCCTCCCCTGTCCCATTGAAGAGGGGAAATCCTTCAAACTGCAAACTTCCTGCTTTGCTGCCTTGAGATCTGTGAACTTTCTGCTTATTATCATGAAAGAGGAAATTATTAACTTGGCTGTGACAGGGAGAATAAAAGCACAGACACTGGAGTGAAATAAGATCTACAGAGTAGCTTATTTTCTCCATATGTTTATCCTCAGCAGAACCATGAAAAATGGTAAATGGTCCAATGTGTCTTCTATTTTTTTTAAAAAAAGTTTAACATATATGTTTGAGCAAGTGGCTGTGCGATTGTGTTTTACTTGCTTCCATTTAACAATCAGATTTTACCTATTGTAAAAAAATATCTGTCCTAAGGGAATGTTCTTCAATATTTTATCTTAAGCCCCAAATTTGGTGTATGTCAGTCTTAAATCATTTCAGCAAATTTAAAGAATTTGTAATATCTTTAATTTTGGACTCTACAGTTTAAGACATAACAGATATTGGTGTTCAAGCAGTAAGTGCTGAGCTCCTTCTAAAGAGCAGAGTCTGTATGTATTTCAAGTTGCATCCAAATACTGAATTCAGTAATAAGTCTTTTTGCAGTTTGGATCAAGATGATCTAAATACATCATATGGAGAAAGGGAGGAGGGCTGGAGTTCAATACCTGGTTCTACGTCAAGTATTTCATATTCATTAATGGTTGTGAACAGGGTTCAAGTGACAGTTCAGAGATGTAAATCCTTCACATGGAAATGTCACGCGTTTTAACTGTACCTCAGCCTTGGTTTGAGGACACAACTTCTCAGCTTTCCTTTGGTCTACCTGCTAGTACTGCAGTTGAGAGCAGCTGTGGTGGTGGATTTATGAGGGCCGCTGGACTAGGGCCAGTATGGAGAATGCCATATTTATTTTACATAAGCCATCAAAACCGTCATTGTACTTGTTCCTATGGTTACTTCTTGATCTGGAGGCTAGATCCTCTCATTTAGGTGTCGTAGGCTTATGGTTCGCTTTCTTAAAACCATTATCAGTCCTAGGACCAGCTCTTCTGAGATACAAACACTATCCCAGCTTACTTTGTTTCACATCACGAGGTGGTCTTGAGGCACACAGCCTGGGTTCCTTTTGGGTGGAAGTGAACTGGAAGGTTTTCTGTAGGAGCACATCAGGCTGCTAATGAGTGTGCAGGTCCTGGGACTAGACTAGAGCTAGCCTGAAGTGACCAGCCTGCCAACAGTGTGGTGTCCCAGCACTGACTATTTCTCTGTCCAAACCCTATCCTATTTTCCAGGATGTCTTGTTAAAGTAGAGGCTGCCTGAGGGGTTGAATCATAGAATCACTGAGGTTGGAAAAGACCTCTAAGATCATCGAGTCCAACCATTGACCCAACACCACCATGCCCACTAAACCATGTCCCTAAGTGCCTCATCTACTCGTCTTTTAAATACCTCCAGGGATGGGGACTCAACCACTTCCCTGGGCAGCCTGTTCCAATGTTTAACCACTCTTTCAGTAAAGAAATTTTTCCTCACATCCAATCTAAACCTCCCCTGGCGCAACTTGAGGCCATTTCCTCTCGTCCTATCGCTTGTTACTTGGGAGAAGAGACCGACACCCACCT